ATCAATCGATCACTTAATGTTGCTAAAACCAATGATTCATTCATTGATATGATGGATTGATTGAACAAATAATCCTAATCGGCAAAATCCATTATGTGATTATTTTTTTTTTTTTTCGAATACTTTCAAAAATTTAGTTTAATACATTTTTCAACATATTCAATTTCCCTTTTTTTCTTTTCTTTTTTTTTTTTTTCTCTCACATTACGCAATTTTTTTGTTGTATTATTACATATACTTCTTTAAACATAATAGAAAAAAAAAGGAAAAAAAAAATGTGATAAGAATTAATATTTCAAATTATAAATATATTTGCATTTCAATATTATCAAATATAAAACGAATAAAATTCTTCATATCAAATATTTATTCGTGACAGCACAACGAAATTTGTCATTAAATTCCAAAAATTTTAAAACTATCAAAGTTTAAAATTTATTTTTTTTTTAAAAATATTTGAAAAAAGAAAAAGTTAATGAAGTTTTTCTTTCTTTTTAATTTCAAATCAAAATCTAATTTATACATTAAAACGAAAAAACTTAACTAAAACATATTACATTTATTAAATGAATATATTTTTAATCGATAATTGATAAATTTTTATATTCTCTATTACTGTACGATTGATTTATTTAGTAAAATTATAAAAATAAACTGAAAAAAAACTTTATTTTTATTATTAATTTAAATTCAATAATAAACATAATAGATAAAATGATAAAATTTGATAAGAATACTTACCGTGAATAAATTGGCATTGGAGAATTGTATTGTATATTAGATGGCATGATTTTCTCTTTCTTTTCTTTTTTTCTTTCCCTTTCTCTCTCTCTCTCCCGTTTTTCCTTTTTTTTTTCTTTTTTTAACAAAAATATGGAAAAAGGAAAATTGAAAAAATTTGAGAATATGAAAAGAGGTCGAAAGTCAAAGCCTTTGCTGCTACGGTAACAATAAATTGAAGAAGATTCCGGATGATGATATGGAAGATATTGTTGCTACTTGAAGCTGTTTGCTGTTGCTGCTCTTGATGATACTGATGTTGGTGCGCTACTTGAGCATTCGATCAGGATGAATTAGTTGAAAGTGTATGAAGGAAGAATCGTTTTTACGGGTTGAACTGATAAGAAAAAGAAGGAAGAGCCGGGGAAGGCGGGAAGCGGGGGTGGATCGGATCTATAAACGAATGTAATAGTTTAGATATATGTATCTATGTATGTGTGTGTGTGTGTGTGTGTGTATGTGTATGTATGCATGTATGTATGTATGTATGTATGTATGTATGTATGTATGTATGTATGTATGTATGTATGTATGTAATCCTTTTCCGAGCCACACCCTTTCTCTTCATTACATCATATCATTTTTTATCATATCCGGAGACCTGGATGATTACACTTTCAACGAAATTCATCATTTCATTCCAATCGGTTTTTTTTTTTTCGGTAGATGACAAAACAATCATTCAAACATTTATCATTGATTAGATAAAATACCGATAAGTGGGAAAAATTACGAAGGGAGAAAATTAATTTATAACTTTCATTTTATATAAATTGAAATTAAATATAGGTTAATATTATCAGATTTTTGAATTAAAAAATGGCAATATCATTTGATGTTTACAAACATTCTGGTATGATGAGAAGTATTTACATGAATTTCAAAGTGTCCAGGAGATATCAGGAATATTCCGGGGAATTAAATTAATTTTTCAGATGAAATTTTATTTTTCATCCGAAACTTAATAACAAATGATATAGCATGTATTGATATTTGAAATTCATATTTTTCCTTTTTTTTTCTTTGGTATGCAATAAGTAAAGAAATTTTCTTAAGGATTAAAAAAGAAAATTCGAATTAAAAATGAATTAAAAATTTTTGAAAATTTAGGCTAGAAATTAAAAATTTGAATTAAAAATTTTTCAAATGAATCTGGAATGTTTCATGACATTGATAGTCTTCTTTTTTTCTATATAATTGGTTGGTAGTTTTCTTATATTTAACATGCGTAATCAAATTACCTACTTGGCTATAATTAGCAAATTAATTAAATTAACACTATAAATGTACAAAATTAATTCAATGAGAAGACAAATAAACAAAATTTAGTCCTACAAATATTTAGCAAATTAGTTTTCTGCGAATTTATACCTAAAAAAAAAATGGAAACCACAAACTTAAAATATTTGAAAAAGGCCAAGAATTATAAAATAAAAGAAAACCAAAAATTAAAAGGTTGGGTAGAAAAAAATCAGGAATTAGGAATATTTTGTTTTGTGAAATTAATCTCCTGAAAAAAAAATGGATTAAATTTTTTGTTGATAATTTAAAATATCAAAAGTTATTGCTATTTGCTCTCGATTATTTTCCTATCGAAAAGTTAGCACTATATTTTTAATTTAAATACCTTATGTATTAAAGAAAAAAAAATGTGAAACTTATTTTACACTTAATTTGTTAACTCTAAAAGATTTTTTTGCTTATTAAAAGCAATATTTGCAGTACGATATATTAAATTGCGATATACAATAATGTTTGTAAATTTTATCATTCTTTCTTAAGTTACGATCAATATTGCTAATAAAAATTGAAATTTTTTTTTGAAAATAATTGTTCACGTTTTAATTTAATTTAACTTAACAGCGATATATTCTGAAAGTGTATCATAAAATATTTTGATAATTACTTTGCAAAATTTTTTCTTAAATTTATCAATTTCTACCAACTTTTGAAAATTTTTGGAAAAATTATTTTTGAAAAGTTATTCGTTAAATAAATTTTATAGTGTCATATTAAATTATTAAAATGCATGGTTATCTTAAAATGTATTTGTTGTTAATTGCAAAAAGTATGTTAACAACTTTTTTATTTTTTTTTTTTACGCTTCATCATAAATATTCCCAATTAACATTATTGGAAATTCAATAGTTAATTATCATTTGCCACAGGAAAAAGTTAATCATTTTCAAATTGAACCACTCAACCTATTCCCTGAAATATGACAGATACATTGATGCATTTGAAATTTTTGAATTTTGAACATTGCTAATGATAATCCTACTAATTTTTTACTCCTTTCTGTTCCATAAAATAATTTTAAATTGATCTTTGAACTTTTTTCACTGAATAATTTCAATCGATTTTTAAATTTTTTCAAAACAATTCCATCACCAATCATTCAAGCTATATGAATATCTTAGCAATCAATATTTCACTCATTTTATTCGCCTTATCATTTCAATTATATGATGACTGGTAAAATTTTAATCACTTAACATTAATGTTCACTAGAAAAAGTACACTTTTGATAATTATTTGAAAATATTTGTTTTAAACTTGCAGTATATTAAAGTATATCAGAATTTTATATATTTCAACAAATTTTCATGACGATGATAAAATTGATCATTTATCAAATCAAAATGATTTCAGGATTTTATTTTGAAGTTTTAATTTTTGTTTCTTGAAAGCTATGATTTATGAATATCGCTGAAATTTGTGAGGAGAAGCAATGAATCGAATCAATAACTGCTTTAATACTGTAGCTGTAATGTATTGCATGTGTAGATATACTGTACAATGTAAGCTAATATTATGCGCCCATTGCGCTTATGTGCTTTATTAAAGGCGGTAATTGTAATTATAGATTTTACCTCAGAGTTGTGTCAGAATCTCGACTATTCCAGGAAGAAGAAGATCCTCAACACCAAATCATTTCGAAAGATGCATTTCAACAGATCGGTTGGTTAGACGATATCAAGCGTCATTTGATCTATGATTTCCTCTTTTGTTCTTATTGATATTATCATTGAATTTGTCTTATGTGATTGTTGAATTCATTTCTGTATTAACCAATTCATAGGAATAAAGATTTAATTATCTAAGTTTGAGGTAGTACTACCCAAAGAAGCAGAAAGAACTCTCAATTTTTGTCACAGGTTGAAGGAAATCGGCGACAATGAAAGTTAATTATTTCATTCCATGTGAATACTGATTGATTGTACGTGAATGAATGAATGAATAAATGAATGGTATAAAGCAGTATTTGGACTGTTAGTATTTGCTTAATTTTGAAACTCGTAATTATTATGGAAATCCAAAAATGATTTATACAAATTTATAATTGAATGGTTAATAGTAAAATTTCTATGTGATATAGTTATTTAAACTTATCACTATTGTTAAATAATCTATCACTATTTGTTGCTAAATTGATGATATCTGTTATGATTAAAATATTTCCGGAATTATTTCTATTATAGCACGTAATACGTAAAATATTTGTTGTGAATATTATTTATTTTTACCTATTTTGAACATATTTCTGCATTTGTAAGTCTTTGGATTGGATTCATGTTAATTTAAATCAACGAATCGAAGTTTAAATTTAGAAATTCAAAAATTAGATTTAAATTAATGATATTAATTCATTGTTCCATACAGATACTTATGATCGATTATATTTTCAAATGATAAGTGATTAAATTTGAGCAATAAATCCTACCATAAATTAAACAATTCAATTACATTGAATATTATTTATTTATTTCTCAATTACACATTAAACACATTTTTCTTTCACTGTGTAAAAAAATAATTCAAAGCAAATTATTGATCAGTATTTTATCATCGCGTAATCTTATCAAATGAACAAAATATTGTATAATCCCCTTCCAAAAATAAAAAAAAGGAAAAAGAAAAACCGTATTATTATGAGGAAAATTTAGAATTTCATTAAATTACACATTCCGCATCTACAGTCAACATTTCTTTGTTTTTTTTTTGTTATTGTTTTTTTCAACTATCATTGGTTTATTAATAGTTGATAAAAATTTGCTCAAATTAAAGCAAAGAAAGCATGGAATTGTATTAAAATTATTATTGATAATCGATTTAAACTTTTATGAACAAATCATATCATAGCATATTAGGAAATGCAATGCAATATTAATTGCTTAATTGAATCTAAGATAATATAATTAATTTAGCAAAATTATTCTTTATGCAAAGCGGAATCGTCCCGTTGTGATATAAAGTTTTCGTAATGCTTGCGCATCATTATAGGAGTGTGGTATACGTGAAGAATGAGGAATATATACACCTTCACCATACATAAAATGTCGATTAAATGCATGATCCTAAAAATTAAAAATTAAAAAAAAACATCCTCGTGTAATTAACGTAATTTATGAATAGCAAAATATACGAATAATTGATTAATTTGTGATAATTAAGTTAAGATTAATGAGTAAGTAAGTAAAAATATCAATACATTTACACAGATACCTTTTTAAATTATAAAAGAGAAAATTTATACAAAAATTAATTTTGAATTCAAAATTTTTAATACCTGAGGATATCTCCAATCATACGAGGTGTAAGCATATTGCTGAGCAAAATCATCAGCTTTAAGTCGTGCTGATACGTATCTATCCAAATACTTTTGTGATCCAGCAATGTATGATTTCAATGGTTCCATTCGCTATAAATATTAATTTTAATTAATATTTTTAGTAAAAAAAAAGTATCTGAATAATTTAATAATTAAACAAGAGATAATAATTGGACAGTTGAAATTTCATCAACTTTATCATAAATTATTGAAAACGAAATTAATAATTGAAGTTAATTTGAAATGAAAAGGTATTTTTTTTTTTTTTTATTAACAAACTTCATTGAAAAATATCCTCTTTGTTTGAAACGTATAGTATGGAACATAGGAACTATACGGCATTGGTTTAAAAGATGGTGTACGAACTGGTTTTGCTATAGTTTCATGAGTATCCTAAAATTAAATTAAGTTAAATTAAATTAATTAACTTAATATTTATTTTGAAAAGAAAAAAGCACAGATTTTAACTGGAACATTTATTTCAATATGAAATAATAAACAGACATTTATAAAATTAGATAAATATATATATATATGTTTAATAATTGATATTAAAAAAAAAAAAGTATGAATGTTATAGTTTTTGAAAGTTTTTGAAATATTTTATAAAATTTGAAACAAATTTAGTTGCTGCTGTTTGGGTAATTTCAATTTAAAAAAATTTTACGAATTGAAAATTAATGAAACATACAATCCATCGTGCTTTACTGTAGGAATTATTATACCAATTGTAAATCTTTGGTTGATAAATTGGTGTAGTATCGATAATACGCTCTGCTTGGCGATAATGTTGAGGTAGTGCTAAGGATGGTGCAAGCGATGATACAGATGTTGATCGACGGATTGGAAAATCATGTTGTGCTTCCTTGAATTTTTATTAAATTTTTAAAATTAAATATAAAATACAATCCACTATGCGGAAGATATGTAAGTAATTCGGGTTGTTTTTAGATTTTAATTTCTTTGAAGAAAGTTAAATTTATAATATTGCTTAAAAATCAATAAAAATTCGCCCTTAATCAAATATGATAGTAAATATAATTTTTAAGCAAAACAAATTATTATTATTATTGTCATTATTATTATTATTATTATTATTATTGTTATTCCTATCATTATTATTATTATTATTATTATTATTATTATTATTATTATTATTATTATTATTATTATTATTATTATTATTATTATTATTATTATTATTATTATTATTATTATTATTATTATTATTATTATTATTATTATTATTATTATTATTATTATTATTATTATTATTATTATTATTATTATTATTATTATTATTATTATTATTATT